AATGAAGCCATCCATTGTATACAACTAGAGATGAGCGAATCGAAGTAGGCGAAGTGGAATTCGTTTCGAATATTGGAAAAATAGCCTACTTCGGACGCGCGAATCGAAATTTTTCCTAAAATGGCGGCGGACATGTGCGGCGACGGAGCGGGGATGTCTGGGAAGGCGCGCAGACAAAGCGCGCTGACCCATAATGCATTCCTTAATGACATGTGATCGCATTAGCCAATCAGCAGCCAGCCAGCCAGCACTGTGTAATGGTCGAGCTATAAATGGCGGCCATTTTAGAATTCTTCATTTGTCTGCAATCATTCAAGAGAGGCAGACCGCTCTGTATTAGGGACAGAGTTAGGGCCACAGAAACGTTACTTAGGGGGGACAGAGAAACGTTACTTAGGGACAGAGAAACATTACTCAGGGACAGACAGAATTGTTAGTGAGGGCCCACAGGGCCACAAACGTTACTTAGGGCCACAGAATTGTTACAGGGCCAAAACTGTTACTTAGGGCCACAGAATTGTTAGTTAGGGCCACAGAATTGTTACTCAGGGACAGACACAGAATTGTTACTGAGGGCCACAGAATTGTTACTTAGGGCCACAGAAACGTTACTCAGGACACAGAATTGTTACTGAGGGCCACAGAACTGTTACTTAGGGCCACAGAATTGTTACAGAAACGAAATTTAGTTAGGGCCACAGAATTGTTACTCAGGGACAGACACAGAATTGTTACTGAGGGCCACAGAATTGTTACTGAGGGCCACAGAACTGTTACTTAGGGCCACAGAAAGTTACACAGGGACACAGAATTGTTACTGACTTAGGCCACAGAATTGTTACTCAGGGACACAGAATTGTTACTGAGGGCCACAGAAACTGTTACTTAGGGCCACAGAATTGTTTCAGGGACACAGAATTGTTACTGGGGGCCACAGAATTGTTACTTAGGGCCACACCGTTACTTAGGGCCACAGAATTGTTACTCAGGGACACAGAATTGTTACTGAGGGCCACAGAACCGTTACTTAGGGCCACAGAATTGTTACTCAGGGACAGACACAGAATTGTTACTCAGGGCACACAGAATTGTTACTGAGGGCCACAGAACCGTTACTTAGGGCCACAGAATTGTTACTCAGGGACAGACACAGAATTGTTACTGAGGGCCACAGAATTGTTACTTAGGGCCACAGAACTTTACTCAGGGACACAGAATTGTTACTGAGGGCCACAGAACTGTTACTTAGGGCCACAGAAACGTTAGTTAGGGCCACAGAATTGTTACTCAGGGACAGACACAGAATTGTTACTGAGGGACACAGAATTGTTACTGAGGGCCACAGAACTGTTACTTAGGGCCACAGAATTGTTACTCAGGGACACAGAATTGTTACTGAGGGCCACAGAACCGTTACTTAGGGCCACAGAATTGTTACTCAGGGACAGACACAGAATTGTTACTCAGGGACACAGAATTGTTACTGAGGGCCACAGAACCGTTACTTAGGGCCACAGAATTGTTACTCAGGGACACAGAATTGTTACTGAGGGACACAGAATGTTACTTAGGGCCACAGAATTGTTACTTAGGGCCACAGAATTGTTACTCAGGGACACAGAATTGTTACTAGGGCCACAGAAACGTTACTCAGGGACACAGAATTGTTACTGAGGCCACAGAACCGTTACTTAGGGCCACAGAATTGTTACTCAGGGCCACAGAATTGTTACTGAGGGCCACAGAATTGTTTAGGGCCACAGAACGTTACTTAGGGCCACAGAATTGTTACTGAGGGACAGACACAGAACCGTTACTTAGGGCCACAGAATTGTTACTCAGGAGGGCCACAGAATTGTTACTCAGGGACACAGAATTGTTACTGAGGGCCACAGAACCGTTACTTAGGGCCACAGAATTGTTACTCAGGGACAGACACAGAATTGTTACTCAGGGACACAGAATTGTTACTGAGGGCCACAGAAGGGCCACAGAAACGTTACTTAGGGCCACAGAATTGTTACTGAGGGCCACAGAATTGTTACTCAGGGGCCACAGAATTGTTACAGACACAGAATTGTTACTGAGGGACACAGAATTGTTACTCAGGGCCACAGGGACACAGAATTGTTACTGAGGGCCACAGAACCGTTACTTAGGGCCACAGAATTGTTACTCAGGGACACAGAATTGTTACTGAGGGAACCGTTACTTAGGGCCACAGAATTGTTACCGTTACTTAGGGCCACAGAATTGTTACTCAGGGACAGACAGGGACACAGAATTGTTACTCAGGGACACACAGAATTGTTACTCAGGGGACACAGAATTGAGGGCCACAGAACCGTTACTTCAGGGTCCACAGAATTGTTACTCAGGGACACAGAATTGTTACTGAGGGCCACAGAACCGTTACTTAGGGCCACAGAATTGTTACTCAGGGACAGACACAGAATTGTTACTCAGGGACACTTGTTACTGAGGGCCACAGAACCGTTACTTAGGGACACCACATAATTGTTACTCAGGGACACAGAATTGTTACTGAGGGCCACAGAACCGTTACTTAGGGCCCACAGAATTGTTACTCAGGGCAGACACAGAATTGTTACTCAGGGACACAGAATTGTTACTGAGGGCCACAGAACCGTTACTCAGGGACACAGAATTGTTACTGAGGGCCACAGAACCGTTACTTAGGGCCACAGAATTGTTACTCAGGGACAGACACAGAATTCTTACTCAGGGACACAGAATTGTTACTGAGGGCCACAGAACCGTTACTTAGGGCCACAGAATTGTTACTCAGGGACACAGAATTGTTACTGAGGGCCACAGAACCGTTACTTAGGGCCACAGAATTGTTACTCAGAGACAGACACAGAATTGTTACTCAGGGACACCGAATTGTTACTGAGGGCCACAGAACCGTTACTTAGGGCCACAGAATTTACTCAGGGACACAGAATTGTTACTGAGGGCCACAGAACCGTTACTTAGGGCCACAGAATTGTTACTCAGGGACAGACACAGAATTGTTACTCAGGGACACAGAATTGTTACTGAGGGCCACAGAACCGTTACTTAGGGCCACATAATTGTTACTCAGGGACACAGAATTGTTACTGAGGGCCACAGAACCGTTACTTAGGGCCACAGAATTGTTACTCAGGGACAGACACAGAATTGTTACTCAGGGACACAGAATTGTTACTGAGGGCCACAGAACCGTTACTTAGGGCCACAGAAACGTTACTCAGGGACACAGAATTGTTACTGAGGGCCACAGAACCGTTACTTAGGGCCACAGAATTGTTACTCAGGGACAGACACAGAATTGTTACTCAGGGACAGACACAGAATTGTTACTGAGGGACACAGAATTGTTACTGAGGGACAGACACAGAATTGTTACTCAGGGACAGACAGAATTGTTACTGAGGGCCACAGAACTGTTACTTAGGGCCACAGAAACGTTACTCAGGGACACAGAATTGTTACTCAGGGACAGACACAGAATTGTTACTCAGGGACAGACACAGACTTGTTACTGAGGGACACAGAATTGTTACTGAGGGACACAGAATTGTTACTGAGGGACACAGAATTGTTACTGAGGGCCACAGAACTGTTACTTAGGGCCACAGAAACGTTACTCAGGGACACAGAATTGTTACTCAGGGACACAGAATCGTTTAATTAAAGAGTATGTCAGACAACATGCAGAGGAGTGGCAGAGGAGGCAATGTTTTAGGAGCGAGCAGACGTGGCAGCAGAGGAAGGGGTCGAGGCAGCACTATTCGCAGCCAGAGGCCAGTGCTCCCGGTGTCATCCAGTACAGTGAGGAAGAGCTAACAGAGGGCGGTCAGGAACGGGGGGAGACATCCGCCTCTTCAGCAGCCAGGTGAAGAAGTAGTGACGAGGAGAGTGGCTCGGTAGCCATTCTAGAGACAGGTCTGTCTCCTGACCCACACGCAGCCGAGGGGGCTAGTAGTGAGGCGGAGACCCTAATTGATGATGATGAGGCTGATCGCACTTGGCAGCCTCGTCGTCATCAGGCTATTGCTTCTGCATCATCAGGAGAAGAGGGTGGCAGCTTGGCAGCGAGCAAAACAGTCGGTGGGTTGTCTCCATCGCCACACTCTGCCATGTGCCACTTTCAGGTCTCCTCACACACTGCTGGTGTGTTCCATTTTTTGTCATAGGGTGCAGGCAGATTACGGGCCTCCCATAGCTGCTGCCAGGCCCATAATCTGCCATGGGCCCCTATACCGCCTCCTCATGCTGCTGCCAAGTCCAGAGTCTCTCATGGGTCCCTGTACGGCCTCCCATTGCTGCTGTCTCCATCGCCACACTCTGCCATGTGCCACTTTCAGGTCTCCTCACACACTGCTGGTGTGTTGAATTTTTTGACATAGGGTGCTGGCAGATTACGGGCCTCCCATAGCTGCTGCCAGGCCCCTAATCTGCCATGGGCCCCTATACCGCCTCCTCATGCTGCTGCCAAGTCCAGAGTCTCTCATGGGTCCCTGTACGGCCTCCCATTGCTGCTGTCTCCATCGCCACACTCTGCCATGTGCCACTTTCAGGTCTCCTCACACACTGCTGGTGTGTTCAATTTTTTGACATAGGGTGCTGGCAGATTACGGGCCTCCCATAGCTGCTGCCAGGCCCCTAATCTGCCATGGGCCCCTATACCGCCTCCTCATGCTGCTGCCAAGTCCAGAGTCTCTCATGGGTCCCTGTACGGCCTCCCATTGCTGCTGTCTCCATCGCCACACTCTGCCATGTGCCACTTTCAGGTCTCCTCACACACTGCTGGTGTGTTGAATTTTTTGACATAGGGTGCTGGCAGATTACGGGCCTCCCATAGCTGCTGCCAGGCCCCTAATCTGCCATGGGCCCCTATACCGCCTCCTCATGCTGCTGCCATGTCCAGAGTCTGTCATGGGTCCCTGTACGGCCTCCCATTGCTGCTGTCTCCATCGCCACACTCTGCCATGTGCCACTTTCAGGTCTCTTCACACTGCTGGTGTGTTGAATTTTTTGACATAGGGTGCTGGCAGATTACGGGCCTCCCATAGCTGCTGCCAGGCCCCTAATCTGCCATGGGCCCCTGTACCGCCTCCTCATGCTGCTGCCAGGTCCACAGTGTCTCATGCCATGTGCCACTTTCAGGTCTCCTCACACTGCTGGTGTGTTGAATTTTTTGACATAGGGTGCTGGCAGATTACGGGCCTCCTATAGCTGCTGCCAGGCCCCTAATCTGCCATGGGCCCCTATACCGCCTCCTCATGCTGCTGCCAGGTCCAGAGTCTCTCATGGGTCCCTGTACGGCCTCCCATTGCTGCTGTCTCCATCGCCACACTCTGCCATGTGCCACTTTCAGGTCTCCTCACACACTGCTGGTGTGTTCCATTTTTTGTCATAGGGTGCTGGCAGATTACGGGCCTCCCATTGCTGCTGCCAGGCCTGTAATCTGCCATGGGCCCCCGTACCGCCTGGTCACGCTGCTGCTGGGTCCACAGTGTGACATGGGTCCCTGTACCGCCTCCCATTGCTCCCACTCTGCCATGTGCCACTTTCAGGTCTCCTCACACTCCTGCTGGTTTCCATTTTGTCATAGGTTGCTGGCAGATTACAGGCCTCCCATAGGTGCTGCCAGGCCCCAAATCTGCCATGGGCCCCCGTACCGCCTCGTCACGCTGCTGCTGGGTCCCCAGTGTGACATGGGTCCCTGTACCGCCTCCCATTGCTCCCACTCTGCCATGTGCCACTTTGAGGTCTCCTCACACTCCTGCTGGTTTCCATTTTGTCATAGGTTGCTGTATGGCCTCCCATTGCTGCTGCCTCCACTGCCACACTGTGGCTCCAAACACTGGTTTTGGCCCTGTGACTGCCCAAATGAGTGAAGTGTGCGGTGATTCTAAGATCGACGGCACTCATCTGCATGTCATACTGACTGACAGTATTATTTCTCTTCCCCAGCAGACTCCAAGGGCATTTAAATTAAAGGTACAGTGTTCTGCACTAATATTAAGTCTCTCTGAAGCCTAGAAACACCCTTTTTTAAGTTAAATTCACAGCGAATATATTCGACTCGAATCGAATATTGTCCACGAATTCGCCGAATCAGTCGAATCAAATTTTTGAATACTTCGCTCATCTCTATATACAACTGTCATGTGACCTGCTGTGATTGGTCACAGCAGGTCACATGGTACCGGCAACCGGGCCGATACTCAGATCTGTCATCGGCCGTGTCCGAGGTACACGGCCGGTGACAGATCGCGCCGCTACGCCGCTCTGCAGGAGCGCAATCTGCGCATGTGTGGGAGGACGCCACCCGGAACTCTGATGACATTTGCCGCCCGCCATTCGGCCATAGGGCAGGTGGCAAATGGTTAATATCCCACTTTGTAGTCATGCTCATAGCAAAAAGTCAAAAATATTGGGTTTGTTTTCAAAATTGATGGTCGTTTTTTGTTTATAGCGCAAAAAAATAAAAAACGCACAGGTGATAAAATACCACCAAAGAAAGCTCTATTTATGGGGAAAAAGGATGTTAATTTCATTTAGGTGCAGCATTGCATAACCGCGGAATTGTCAGTTAAAGTAACGCAGTGCCGTATCGCAAAAAAAGGCCTGGTCAGGAAGGGGGTAAATCCTCAGGAGGGCAAGTGGTTAACCAAGAACTGTATGAAACCAGATGTTAGCCCCCACCATGCAAGGTGCCCCATCAGTAGTAACTGAAACCACTTTTTCTGGTCTTATGTCTTGTGGGAAAAAAAGCCTCCATCATTGCATTGTAGATATCTCTCCCTTGTGTTCTTCCAGGCAAAGACACCAGTTTCACCAGCTCTTCTCTCATGATGCCACCAATGGCATAACACAAAATGACAGCTAGCCTTGCATTATTATTTATATCTGCTTTCATGCAAGCTCATGGAGTAACAGGTTGCCATTTTGTAAGTCAGTGGTGAGCTGCAGACCAACGTCACTTCCCATGCGAAGGACTCGAAAGAGTATTTCTTCTAAGTGGCATCTCAGAGAACCGTTGCATAATTTTATCCTTGTTTGGGAATTCATGAAAAAGGGAATGACTCCCAGACAACATGGCCGTTTTGATAAAATCCCCATCAGAGAGGGGCTTATCATGCACAGTGACATTTGAAAGCTGTCAGATGAATTGTTTTAGAAAGATAGTTACAAAAACTGAGATACTGGGAGTGATATTTCCTCAATTTACCTTCAAGAAACGCCTTCCGTCCATCTTCACCAAGTTCGGCAACACTTTTGTGGTTGGTGTCAAAGTGCCATCAGACACTTGATGTGCGAAACACAACACTTTCCCTACACAGAATAGGAAAAGAAAAGGGGGATTTAATAGGGGCCCCACTTTTTTTTATGGGACTGTGGCAGGGGAAATAAGTTTCAAGTCCCCCCACTGTATAAATACAGACAGGGGGAACATTCTAGAAGGTCAGTAGGGTTTTTAGTCCCCCCCATTGGTGTGAGGAGGAGAAAAAAAAACGTTAAAGTTTAGTCCCCCCATGGTATACTAATATAATGGGGAAAATTGTAGAAATTGGGAGTTTTTAGCCCCCCACTACACTTGGACAGTTTTAAACCCCCCCCTTCTTCATGTTTTGATTTGAAATAGAATGTGTAGTGTTCCCAATGCATTTGTGTGTATGGAAATAAAAGCTATTAGAAGGATTTTGAGCTTTATTCACTTTTTTCAACACACTGCTATTATTGTGAACACAACTGTATATATAGCAATAACGGCATTAGGTCAGTTTAAACTGATGTCTATCTATCTATCTATCTATCTATCTATCTATCTATCTATCTATCTATCTATCTATCTATCTATCTATCTACCACTATCTATCTATCTATCTATCTATCTATCTATCCACCCATCCATGTGTTACATGACAATTGCTCAGTTGACCATGGGTTTTCTAAATAGAGAGCACAGCATGCCTTTTTTCTGATTGAAATTGGGGTTCAGTGCTCCGGCCCCTTCACTTTTGCATGAGCCTTGCAAAGTGGCAGCATCTATTTATGAGACATAACCTAACCATCAAATCTATACAAGCTTTTTGGACATACTATAATATGAAGTTAGCCCCCTTTTGTACCCTATAAAAGCTTCCACTCTACACCATGGATTTCCACAAAGCTTTGGAGTAAGAGGATTTGTGGCTATTCAGCAAATCACCAGATGTTGGACAAAAACACATGGCTCACAATCGGTATTCCAGATTATCCAAAAGGTGTCCAGTAGGGTTGAGGTCAGGGCTCTGTGTTGGATACTTGGGGTCCTTCAGGGGTCCTTCACACCAAACTCATTGATCCATGTCTTTTTTCACAGAACTGCTGGAAGAGTAAACAACCTTCCCCATACTGATGTCACAAAGTTGGAAGCACATATTTGTCTAAAATGCCTTTGTAAGATTGACTACTGGATTTCACTTCCTCTCCATTGAACCTCAAATTTAACAAACTGCACAACCTGAACACCATGAAACAATTAACAATTTAATAAATAACCAAGAAAAAATAAACCATCACATCAAATAAAAGTTCTGAACATTAGGAACAGGAGAAGCAGACGGTTGCTTCAGAATGTGAAAACACAACACAGCTGCTTACTCCACTTCTCATCCCATTAACGGATCTCTAGTGCATGTGACCGCTCCTTATTAGCGGATGTCTCGTAGTGTGAACTGTCATTGCCTCATCTTCCGCTGTGTCTCTGCTCCACAGGCACATCTGTCACCCATCCGGTAGACATCTCCTTAGTGCCGGTGCTGTGCCTTTCTCAGGTGCCACATGTGATACAAAGTCCACAGCTGCTCAGCCATTGGCTAATTCCTGTCACTTACACAGGCCGAAGAAAATTACCTTAATGTCCAGATGCTACAGTGTAACTGGAATATCCACAATGACCAATGATGAGAGGTTGATTAAATGTAAACCTTCCAAGGCTGCTGCATAATGAGATGCTCAGAGAGGAATTAACTCCTGTTTCAGCATAATTTGCTTACTGTAGATCAAATATTTCATTTCAGTTCAGCATATTTGTATTATAGTCTGTGGTGAAAGCAGCTAGCTACAGTCCTTTCCTCTATTGTCCCTCTGTTAGGTTAAATATTTATATTCCTTTCTTTCTCTCGCTCTCTCTCTATCTCCTGTTTATTTCTTTCTGTCTTTCTTTCTTTCTTTCTTTCTTTCTTTCTTTCTCTGTCTCCTATTTCTCTCCTATCTTTTTCTTTCTTTCTCTCTGTTTCACATTTCTCTCTCTTCTCTTTCTCTCTCACTGTCTCTTTCTTTCTTTCTTTCTTTCTTTCTTTCTTTCTTTCTTTCTTTTCTTTCTTTCTTTCTTTCTTTCTTTTTCTTTTACTTTCTCTCTTTCTTTTTATCTTTCTCTGTCTCCTGTTTTCTCTCCTTTCTTTTTCTTTTCTTTCTTTCTCTCTCTTTCTCTCAGTTTCACGTTTCTCTCTCTTCTCTCTCTCTCTCACTGTCTCCTCTTTCTTTCTTTCTTTCTTTCTTTCTTTCTTTCTTTCTTTCTTTCTGTCTCTTTCTTTCTTTCCTTTTCCTTTTCCTTTTTTTCCTTTCTTTCTTTCTTTCTTTTTCTTTCTTTCTTTCTTTCTTTCTTTCTTTCTTTCTTTCTTTTTCTCTTTCTCTCTTTCTTTTTTTCTTTCTCTGTCTCCTGTTTCTCTCCTTTCTTTTTCTTTTTTTTTCTTTTTCTTTCTTTCTTTCTCTCTCTTTCTCTCGGTTTCACGTTTCTCTCTCTTCTCTCTCGCTGTCTCCTGTTTCTTTCTTTCTTTCCTTTTTTTTTCTTTCTTTCTTTCTTTCTTTCTTTCTTTCTTTCTTTCTTTCTTTCTTTCTTTCTTTCTTTCCTTCTTTCTTTCCTTCTTTCCTTTTTCTTTCTTTCCTTCTTTCCTTTTTCTTTTCTTTCTTTCTTTCTTTCTTTCTTTCCTTTCTTTCTTTCTTTCTTTCTTTCTTTCTTTCTTTCCTTTCTTTCCTTTCTTTCCTTTCTTTCTTTCTTTCTTTCTTTCTTTCTTTCTTTCTTTTCTTTCTTTTCTCTCTCTCTTTCTTTCCCTCCTTCTCTCTCTCCTGCTCCTTCTCTCTCTCCTTCTCTCTCTTTCTCTCATCCTCTCTCTTTCTCTCCTTTTTCCTCTCTCTTTGCATGAATCATTTCTAACAGGCTGTGCCAACTCCAAGAGATCAAGTGGGACAGAAGAGAGACGCTTAAGCACACAGCCTGTGATTGACAGTCTTCCTTTCATGTCTCAGGTTGGTTTACTATACCTGGAAAGTCCAAAATCTGATGCAGTATTGCATGAAGCCAATCAGCTTCTAACTTCAGCTTGTTCAATTAAGCTTTGACCAAAAACCTGGAAGCTGATTGGTTTCTTGGCCTTTTTGCATGTGTAGAGAAGAGATTGCTGCAGATAAACAGGTACAACTTATATAGGAGGATTTGTTTCATCTTTGCTCATAACCTGGGTATATGTAAGGGGTAACCTGACTAAAACGAAACAGGAATATGTTTAAACATTTTTTTTTTGTTTAAGCCCTAAATATATAGAAATATACTGAAAATTGAGTCACTCTCTTTCACAACAAAATAAAAAAAAACATTCCATAAAGAACAAGACACCAAAAAATACAGAGGAAGAATATTCTGGGGGACTACTGCGGTCTCCCTGAAGTGACAGGTTTCAAACACCAACTTTCGGTAAACATGATTTTTTGTGCCGGTTCATCTTTGCTCACAGTACAGATGATGTGTATA